TTTTAGGTAATTTTGACTTTAGGAGTTGAGGGGCTTTCAATAGAGCCGACCTTGCATTTTCATAGAAGATCTGTTTTAATAAGGGCCTGTTCATACTATACAGGGTTATTCACAAAAGGGTGAAGAGTTTGGAGAATGTATGAGAAGTGAACAATCCAAGGAAACATCGCTGAACTGGAAAGTGAGCTGAATTGGAGAAGTTTTCCAAATCGGCTATTTTAGCCTAGATTGTTCCCTTCTCCTGCCTTCTCCAAACTCTTCACCCTTTAATGAATAGCCCTGTATGTGCTCTTGTCGTACCAACTTGTCTGTTTCCTGGAGTTAACAGTGAACGTTATAATTCTGTGATCACTGTTCCCCAGGTTATCCCCAATTTCCACATCTAATCAGCTTTGTGCTTGTAATTAATAAATTCAACATATTTTTTTCCCGTTGAGGTTTTCATCATGTGTCCCATAAAATTATCTTGTAGTATGTTCAAGAAGTGGCTGGCCTTACTTGAGTGCGGTTTCTCTTCCCCAATCAATATCAGGATAGTTGAAGTCTCCCATAATTGTAACATTGCCATGCCTCCCCGCTATTGCTATCTGTGACAATAGTTAAATCCATCGTGACCCAAGTCACACTGCCATGGAATGCACAGCATTAGGGTACCACACATTCCGGTGTGGGCGTACGAACTATGGGTGGGAGGTGTGTTTGGGGTACCATTCAAATGAATGGTAGCACAACACACCTCCCACACCAAAACACACTGTAGGTCCACCCAGTCTCCCTACCTTACAAGAACTGGAGTGGATCCTCAGCCTGGGGTCCAGTGTTGGCTGCTATGCTGTGACGGAGCTCCATCCATATGTGCATTGATTGCACAACTCCCTTGCACGCCCTGTAGAGGTGAAAGGAGCCAGAATGTGACGTCACTCCGGTCCAGGCACCTCTACAGGGAGCTGTAAGCAATGCACGTATGGATGGAGCTCCCTCGCGTCCATAGCCCCATCCCACCTCATGCTGACTCTCTCTCTGACAGTGCTACAATAGGGGGAGGCTGAGGAGCCTGTGACCAACAAAAGTGGAAGGCATGCGGCGACCCACTGAACACAAGATCGCAACCCACTTTTGGGTCACGACCCACCAGTTGAGAAACAAGGTCCAAGATTGTTCACTTCTCCAAACTCTTCACCCTTTAGTGAATTACCCCTATAGTGTTGTGTTAATAGTATGTTACCATGGATTTAGAGCATCCTTTTGCTCAGCGCCCCTAGCATGTGTAAACCATGCGCTAGGTGCCTTGCCATTCATTTGAATGCCACCCCAATGCACCTTCCAAAGGTCACTCGCTGCAGCGCAGTGGACCATGCGGTACTGCAATCGATTGCAGTGCGGTGGAAAGAGTAGTACACGCCCTACTTTTTACTGCAATGCACGATATTGCAGTACAGCCACCAGGAGGTGCGTTGTGATTCCATTTAAATGAATAGCAATGCAACGTATCTAGGGAACGGTACTGGTTCGATAGTGTGTACTTAACGCATGGTAACGCATGCTTAGCACAATGCAATAGTGTGAACAGGCCCCAACTGTTGAAATAAAATGGCATCTACAAGGTAAGAACGTTATTTTCAATAAGTCAGCCGAATCACAGATATGTATTGGAAAGGGGGTAGTAAAGCACAACCACTACGCAGCACTTGAGATCGGGAAGCAATGTCTGTAAGCAATTGGAAATCATTGTTGCCTCCATGTATAGTCAGAAACGACACATTGAAACAAGAACATCAGTATGTGTGGATAATAATATTTACATCGAGCTGATCCAGTTGAATGTAAATAAAATGACTACATTGGAACAGCTTTGAGGATTGTGTCTTTGAATTAAGATTTTGTTTATTCACAGCCATAATGGTGCCGACTCCTAGCTGTCCTCCAGTGCGTGCTGTGACTTTCCTTGACCTGTAATGTTTACAGGAAGCATTTAATTAGCTGTAATTAGTTGTTAAAGGGTTTGTCAGTAAATGTTGTAAAAGGCAGAATATTGTTGTCGTGGAAAGTCTTTTCCTGGAGAAGTGTCAAACAGCTGCAGCTCAAAGTGCTGTTTCCTTCTTTCATGTACAGGGATTGTGTTGTTTTTTTTATACCTTGCGCTGGGGTGTCCCGATGCTTTCCTCGGACCTCCGACAAATGTTAGACCCCATACACACTAAGCAACATACCTTTTGGAGCCGATCCGCGCGGCCAGGCTATCGTGACTTTCGGGGCGACGATCCAGCGACGGTAGCGCCACCTTCACCGTCAGGCTGCATGAAAAAAATCGCGCAAAATCAGCCGAAAAAAGGGTCCTGTAGAAGCGACTTGCGACCGCGACGGGCGACGTGGAGATGTACATGAAGACAGCTCCATTGAAAATCATTGGCCCGCGACTTCTCGCGATATCGCGCGGCAAAAGTGCGCGATATTGCGGCGGAAATCGCGCGGCAATCCGCTCAGTGGGAATGGGGCCTTAAGGCTACATTTAAATGACCCAATCCCACCCAAAATCTGACCATCCAGCACGATGTTTGGGAAAGGATTGGACTGTTTAGAACTAGATGCACCAGTTCTCATTCCAGTGATTATCCTATTTGTTAGCCTGATCTCATGTTAGCTGCACATGTGCAGCTTATGTGGTTGGAAAAGACACAAAAAACACCAAGTTTGAACTCCTTGATGCTGGTCTTCACTCTTTTGAAGGAAGGGGGGTTGTATTTTTCAGATAAATCTATACTGAAAGAGTGACACCCTGCACAAGAGTCAACCCCAGATGTTTCTACAAAGGTAAAAGTTTAATATTAAAGAGCTAAAGCCAATTTCTTTTTTTTGGGGGGGGGGGGGGGGTTGTCAGAGGAGTACATTTACCAATGTCCTGTTGTGACCCAAACTCGTATAGCGTGTATATAGCTTGGTATATGCTGACAGCGCTGCAGCCTGGAAAGATCCCAGCAATATTGTCAGGATGAATCCCGCTGCCTGATTGAGAGCGGCCTCTCTAGAGCCAGAGCCAGCTGTGCCCGCCCCGTCCCGTCTGTTTCTCCAATTTGCGTGCTGGAGGAACAGGGAGAAGGGAAGGGGGTGATCCCTGTGGTGGAGAAGACCATGAGCTGAGCAATCAGTGGTTTGTGATCACTCAGCTCACGATCTATAGACTGACATTTGACACCTGCAGTGTAAGTATTGAGAAGAGTACATTTTACTCTCCCAATACTTCTCCCTTAATGCTAAATTCCAGGCAAACAGGTAAATACACAGATGAAATACACATAAGAGAGCGGTTTTACCTGCCAAAGGATTTGTGTTTCTGTCTATCCAGTCCCGAGATATACAAAGCTCGGCCAGTCAGTACCGCCCTGTCTGGCAGGGCAGGAGATCTTATTCTCTCTGCTGCAATTCAGTTCTTATCTCACCTCCAGCCTGTGATTAGACAGTGAAACAAAAAGCAGCAGACTGATGAGCTCATCTCTCGGACACTCTCTCTCCTCCTACCAGCATGGCCCTTGCACTGCAGCACAACAGATTGGCTAATCGTGCTGCTTCTTCCTACACCAGTGTGAGCTCTGCTGTACAGGGAGTGCAAGATGCTGATGAGACAGATTGGTGTACTTACACTGCTAGTATTTTAAAAAGTTAATGCAAATCTGCATGCATTTCTGTTTTGTTTATCTTCCTGGAGTTCAGCTTTCAAGAGTCATTTGCAGTCAGTGTTGCAGTCATTTCTAAGTTTATTACTGGCTGGCTCAGATCAGATCTTCTTTTGTCTTTCGACATATCAGAAATGTATGTACGTCTGTACATGTACGTGCATCAGACAGCTCCGGGTGGCATTAGAGCAATCGGAGGTCTAGCCAATGGCTCCCCTTTTTTTTTTCCATAGGTGGTTGAGAACCATGAAAATGACGGTTGAATAGTCCCATTTTTACCTAAGCTTTTTATGAATACCCACCACAAGGAGATTTTACTTCTTGGCGTATGTTGTTCTTAAATAATTGCCTCATCTAATTTAGTATTTGAAGCTTTCCACCGCCTTTGATGACCCAGAACACTTTCTCTTGGATAGCACTGTTTGTGTCCCATCAGTCACTTGAAGTCCTGCCGTGCACGTAATGACATCTTCATAAAGGTGAAGATGACCATTTGCTTTAATGGAAGTGTTTCTTGAAGTCTTGCTTCTTTTTCCTAATACTCTAGAGGCATCAACATTGTCCTTAACCCGGATCCTTTTATACCCCTTCCCTAAAGGTTCAGCTGTCCTGAATCTGCTCTTGCGGACACCCCTCTGTATAATTCTGTCTCCCCAAATATGAAACCATGCTCGACAACAGAAACTTGTATAGTAATGTATGTGGAAGAGTGGTTGTTCTGGGTTGTTGCATTTACAAATCCTTCCTTTACACCTCATTATTGATCTTTGCATTGTAATCCTGAGTGTCTTCAAGACTAACATTTGACTTATGGAAGGGTGAAGTGGGATGTGAAAAAGTGAGGAGACCAATGGTGGGCTGGCAGTGCATTCTGGGATTTATGCCCCAACAGCAGACAGCACACTGTCTACATCTGTTTTGTTAGCTCGGACTGGCTAATGTTTGCGCTGTTGTACTCTCTCCATGCTGTATTATTACTCAGCCGGAGTCACACTGACTCCCTGTGTTGTTTTTGTTTCTGCAGAGGTGACATTGAAGGTCCAGGTCAGCGATGTGAGCACCCACCAGCCCCTCGGTAATGCCGCCATAGAGATCTTCTCCAATCAGGTTTCTCTTGTGTCTGGGACCACCGGAGCCGATGGGACTGCGCTGATCAAACTGCAGTACAAGCTGGGAAATCAGCTGATTGTAACAGCCACCAAACATGCCTATGTGCCAAACTCTGCACCCTGGAGGCCACTCCGATTGCCAGGTAAGTTGGCATCGTCTGCTCATGTTTTGCCTTCCTTGGTTCCTCCTTTTACCCCCTATCAACATGCTAATTACATTTTTAAATTCATTACCTACCTTATGTCATCAATGGGTTACTGTGCTTCTTTATGCAATACAGGTAGATCATGGCAGGTAGGGGGGGCCGGCAGGGTACTGTACAAAGCTTCCTGAAAACATCACAGCACTCTGTCTCAGTACACCTATAAAGAGCTCTCAGCACTGATGCAAAGCAGTGGGCTGGATCTTGGGAGGAATTATGCAAATATCAATATACCTTGATGGGTGAATGTCAGTCTGCAGTAGTGGGTGGTCCTAGACCAGTGGTTCTCAACCTTTCTAGGGCCGGGACCCCTTGGTAACATTTGCCAAGTTGTGGTGACCCCCAGCGGTAAAATTTGGGGTTGACGCGGCTGCTGCAGAGACATCTAGCGGCGTGGCGGAGAACTGACACTGCTGCGTTAGGAGAGGGCTGAGGAGGACTCTCACCGAGCACAGCAGAAATCACACCGCGACCCGCAGGTTGAGAACCACTGCTGTAACAGCTAAAATGGCAAACCATATAACACAAGCCGAGGGTGTCAGCTTTTATTATTAATAATAATGATGATAATCACTAGATGGGGACCTGATGGAGAACTGCAAGTCCCCCTCTGCTGATTGACAGCAGCAGTGGGCGGGTGCAATAGCTAGTTTGCTATTGCAAAGCGAAATAGCCAATAGGAATCTAGCGATGCATTCCAAGCAGAGCACTTTCCGGGAGAAAGTGTTTCTCTCCCGGGCGGCCGGGAGCCGCTATCTAATAGCGGGAGACTCCCGGCGACCCCTGGCAAATTTTCATTCGAACCCCGAAGGGGTTCCGACCCACAGGTTGAGAACCGCTGTCCTAGACAGACTGATTTTTCCTTTAGACCACCTTAGGTAAGGCTGGCATTTAATGCTGACCCTCTGACCCTGGAACACTGTCAATCAGTCTGCCCTGAAAGGGCAAAGGGACTGTTTCTCTTGAAAGGCCAACTCTAGTCAGACTTTTCATACTGTGAATTAGAAAGGATTTATGTCCTGCTACATTCCCCCTTCAGCATTGCACTTGGATTCCCCCAATGGTCCTGTTCAGTTTGGAAGAAATTGAATACAAGGCAAATCAAATGGATTTCTTGACTCGGTTGCAACATTTCTGGGAAAAGCAGCTCACCGGCTATTATTACTTGCTGCCTGGCATTGTCCTTTAAATAATTCAAGTATGCTTCTCCATCCAAGTCATTACAGGCAGGCCCTCAGTGTTCTAGACATTACCAGCAGTTTGTAGTGTGTGTTGACTTCACTTTGTTCACTTTGCTGTGTAGCTGGGAAAAGTCACTCACATGTTAATGATTCTAATTTTCTCAGCCCGGAGTGCCTGTGTGGTGGAAATGTCAGCAATATGTGCAGAGGTTATGTAGTGCAGGACTCCCAACAATTACCAACTGTTCTGCTGATGATAATGAGGACAGAGAGAGTCTGAAGCAGTGAAATCTTGGAGTTTCTGCCTTTGGTAATTTAAGGTTTACTTCGGTCTTCTTAGAAAATTCTGCTTTGAGATGCATACAGGGAGCACAGCCTACCTGTACTTCCATCAGCCTATAGAGCCCCTATAAAAATTGCTGTGTAAGGTGCAGGTTGGCTCGGGGTTAAAACTTATTTAGCACTGCATTGTGGGAGACGGAGGAGACATGTGCTCCCCTATTCCCATAGGCACTAGATTTTGGGCGAACAGGGCAGTGGTGAAATAATTAGAACGTAAGTACAAGGACCAGAAAGGAACCTGGCAAAGTACAGGTTCTGTTTAAAGGAGAACTATGGGGTCAGGGCTTTCCCTATAGTTCTCCTAAGGGTAACGGGAGGACACAAACTAGCGTCCTCCTGTCACCCAAAGCTCAGTATACTGCGAGCTACAGCTCGCTGTATACTGAGACACCGCAGCCGGGAGGGGGCAGAGTCAGCTGTACCCGTCCCTTCCCCCAACCGTTCCGCCAGTCAGCTCTGGAGGATCAGACAGGGTTGGGGGGAATCCCTGCAGGGAGCCGTGAGTGACGGTCACGGCTCTCTGCAGGCACAGGATCGAGAAGTGAGCGACGATATGTGTTCGCTCACTTCCCGATCTATTGAGCCGACCTGTGACAGTTTCATTGTCGCACGTCGGCTCGAACTATGAGGCTGAGTGATTTTTCACTCGTCTCATAGTTCTCCTTAATAGGAACTGTCACTTTATGCCAGAGGTAGCAAACCTCTGGCCCTCCAGCTGTGGTAAAACTACAAATCCCATGATGCATCTCTCTTCGGGAGTCATGTCTGTGGCTGTGAGAATCTTGCAATGCCTCATGGGATTTGTAGTTCCACCGCAGCTGCAGGGCCGGAGGTTTGCTACCCCTGCTTTATGCATTCACGGATGTATTCCTGCATTAGAACCCGCGTCAGGTCATTTTTTTGCTTTGAAATAAAGGGCACCTGAACAATGCCTGCATCCAATTACCTAATTCAGGTATTTTTAGAGCCAGCAGGACCGACTAGCAAGATACTGAAACTAGGCTCAGTGGGAGTTCCTTCATCCACACAGTTTAGCGTAGATGGAGGAATCTGTTGCACTTTTTCCATCTGACTATAGAAAATCTGCAGATAATCTATAGGTGTATGGCCAGCTTTATTTGGAAGATTCCCCTTTAAAACAAACCAAAAAGAAAGAAAAATGTCCAGAGATCCACTACCAAAGGGCTTTGGTTAATTCTAATCATGACCATTAACATTCAAAACAGTTCTTAGATTACATACTACATTATATATGTACACACAAGCACACTCAAAGGACTAAAAGAAAAATATATTGCAAAATCTTTTAGAAGCTCGTGCCTATGGCACGTCCTATGTTTTTGTTGGCATTCCATGTGAATTTCAGGGGATAACATAATATAAGACTACAATCTTCAAAGCTCTATATTCCATTGTCTTTTCTTTATGGCTTCTAGAAGGAGTCTGCATAAGATGATGGAGAGGAAGTGGCTGAGGACTACAGATAGCAAGCTATAGACACAGCAGTGTACCCTGTGTAACAAGGACAGAATGTGAAGTAAAAGAGAAAAACAGTCTTATTTAAAACACATTTAGGATATGCAATGCGTAGTAAATCATAGCAACTCATCACATAGCTGACTGCTTGCTGCTCACCGGTCCTTGCACCACCCTTTTGAATAATCCTGAAAAGCGTAGGCATACTTTTAATAACGAATAAAAACACAGTCATATAACGTAATGGTATTATAATACATAAATAGCAGTTATTAGTCTCGCACACGGGTGCTTGTAGCCATACAATGTCAATTCTGATGCCCATGTGCAAAAGCCTTTAATATCTCTAACATTTCACGAAGTTGGAAAATAAACAGGTGTTGTATAGAGAAAATCAATCATGTTTCCCTTTTGGTGGTTTTGAACCCTACCAACAGAGTAGCAGCTGGATTGCTTCAAGTGACACGAAACTCTGGAGTTATATCTGAAAAATGCATTCAAGTACCCTAACTATTAACAAAAATGTATCTTCTTTGTGTATCACTCAGCTGTAGATCTTCCAATCATCTCTGAATTGGTGCTGACACTGTCCTTCCTTCTGGAGGGTGGCTACTTTTGTTCCCCATGGTCCCTGTGTGTGTTGTAAAGTAGTCACAGCTGAAATGATACTATAACCAAATGGATCTCTAAACGATTTGATGAAAAGTCTTTTTAAATAAAAATCATACAGATATCAATTTGGTTATAGTTTCTTGTGTTGTCAGTTTAGCGTAGATGGAGGAACCTGTTGCACTTTTTCCATCTGACCATAGAAAATCTGCAGATAATCTATAGGTGTATGGCCAGCCTAAGATCCATTTCTTGTTGCACTCATTCAGGTCATCTCTTCCTAAAACAATTAAAAGTAATTCAGCATATTTATTAGAAATCCGCATGTTGCCTGTATGCATTTATATCGGATCGTATGGTAAAATGCAAGGTTTGCTAACGCAGCCCAGGTCCCCTTTACAGACCACCTACTATTAGTGGTGCAAAGAAAAAAAGTTAGGGTTTATACTTGCCCCAACCCAGTATTCCGCCTTAGTCAAAGATTAGATCCTGCGGAATATAGAGCAGCCGAGAAGACGCCCTGCAAAGGACTGCAATGGGTTCTCACGACATTTTCTCTACTCTGTATTCCTGGAAATCCTACCGAAATGACAGCGATGTCACGCCGAATAATATAAAAGGTGAGTGTAAGGTAAGTATAAGTTTAACTTTTTTTTTTACCAGGGAACATGCTGATGCTAATGTAATATAGTCTTTTGGGCACTAGACGGAACTGTGGCGCAAAGCTAGTCTGTATACTATTTGTCTATGTGCATACTTGTCTGTGATACAGAGGACGTTATATCTGCATAAATGTTTTCTTCTCTATGAATTATATGTTTTCCTGTTTGATGCTGTAATCCTGTATACATGTATGCAACGTTCTTCTAAGCAAGTGAAACTTATTTCAGGATTCCACAATATCTCAGTGCTTCATCTAAACACATAACCAACACTTTGTACACCTACCAATAAGCAATTTGTAAAGGGGGCAATTTAAGCAAACCTTGCATTTTACTGCGAGGTCTTCTTTCAGTCAAATTGGAAGAATTCACATTTATTTATTTTTATTTTGTTTAAGGGTCCTGTACACAGAGTACTGGTATCTCAGTGCCTTGTAGATGCAGGAGAGCTAAAACCATTTCTAATATCTTTTTGGAACTCTGTTGGCCGGATCTACAAACTGAGTTCCTTATGAGGGTTTTCCACTCTCCCTGCTGGATCCTTTATTTATTTTATATTATAGAGAATGTAACTGGAAGAGCTGAAACACCCAAATCTCCCAGGAGGACATAAACAGAGCCGGGAATTATGAGCAAAGATCTTGCTGTTGGAACATCCAAGAAAAAAGAGAAGCCAGGGGCTGACTCAGCCCAGCGGGCTCCACCTACAGATAAACTTTTGCTTTTTGGGTGTGTTGACCCATTACGTCTGATGATGAAAAAGTAGTGTTTTCACTTAGGGGAGTTGAATGATTCAAAGTAGTTCTTGGTATCCTCGGCCAAAAACTGCCAGTGTAAAGAATGTACCAAATGAGAAGAGTGTTATTGAAGTGGAACTCTAGCCACAAATTTTTGTTTTGAGTTGGGGAAGGTTAGGAAGGTTTTTATTGCTCATCCCACTTCTGTCCGAGTGACACAATAGAGAGTGAGAGAAGATCTTTCCAAAGTGAAGGCAAATGCAGTAAAATGTTGCTCCCCACTAGTGATGGGCTTGGGCGTGTTCTCAAGCGCCTCGTGCCGAGCCCGCCAGGAAGCCGTCGGCGCGCAGGGCCAATCACAGGCACTGAGACATGTTCCCAGTCCGCAGCTGTAGAGATCGGGAAATGTCTTGGTGCCTGTGATTGGCCCTGCGCACTGATAGCTTCCCGGCAGGCTCGGCATGAGGCGCTTGCGAACACGCCCGAGCCCATCACAACTCCTTACCTCCTGCTCATCTGCCAAATGTCAACTGTTGGATCCCCACCCCCTTTGTAATTTTTAACACTATACCAAATTCCTTTTTTTTTAAATGCTTTATTACACTTTAAGGGTCATGTTTTCCTACTGAATGGGGTTCTTAGCTGTGATTTTTTTTTTTCCTTTGCAGTGTTCTCCTTCGTAAGCCTTGAATTGCTGCCTGAGCGCTCCGCCACATTAATGGTCTATGATGATGTTGTTCAGATAGTCTCAGGATATCAAGGTAAGATCATATTCGCTGTCAACGCATTCTGCAATGGCTAATATGTTACAAAAAATCTGCAAGCGTTCACCTTTTTCCACTTACAGCGCGTAGGTGCTCTTTTAAGCCCCCAATGCATTGCTCATTACGGTGTAATTGAGGACTATGTGAATTCTGAGATGCTAAATCTAGCCGTACACCACGGGCTCAATGAGAGAAATATTTTGATTGCCCCATCTTTTTCAGCGTGGATGGAGGAATATTCCCTGCCGTCTATTACACTCATGGCTTTCAGAATAACCAAACACTGACTGAGGCTGATTGGCTGGAGTCACTGCCCAGCTGACAATTTTCCACCCGACTCCTTGGACAAAAGTTGATTTTATCATGTCACCCGTGATTGAATTTCAGCTGATTCAGCAGTAAAAATGGCCAAAGTTTAATTTGTGTATGGCCAGCTTGATTCTTTTGGTAGGTGCTGCCTCAGTTAGCTCTCCTGTTGGCTGTCTACGATATCTGCTCACATAAGAATTTGTCTGGTATCAGACTTTAAATGACTATTGTCTTTTTTCCTATGGAACTTAATGAGTTATGGGCTGTAAATAACCGAGCAGCCCCCCTCCATCAATAACCAGAAAGAGGAAAAAACGCTAACCTCCCTTTAATTATATACATTGCAAATATTTCACAAACTGACTGCTAAGGAGAAGGGTCTTCCATCATTACCACCACCTGTGCAGTTTAAATGATGTAATAAGGAAAAGCATTATCTGTATCACATGTGACATCCTAGAGTCCTAGAGCGTTCGTACAAAAGTTTAACAGTGCATAGTAGGGGTGTAGTAGGGGATACAAATACTAGTATCAGTATTGGTGCTGATGCCGAGTATTTGGACCAGTACTCGTACTCGCCTAAATGCTCCGATGCCTATACTTCCGGTATCAGGAAGCCGGGCAGCGCGCCCTTACACGGTATCCCGAAGCCGTCTCAATACCCTCTCGTCACTTGTGACGAGAGACCATGGAGCCGGCTTCCCGGCCAATCGGGAAGCCGGGCAGCGTGTAATGACGCCCTGCCCGGCTTCCTGATTGGTCGGAAGCTGGCCAATCAGGAAGCCAGCTGCCGTATAATGGCGCGCGCCCAGCTTTCTGTTAGGTCTTAAAGCCGTCTTCATGCTCCCTCATCATCTCATGACGAGGGAGCATGGAGCCGGCTTCCCTGCCAATCATGAAGACGGCCAATCAGGAAGACACAGCGCCCGGCTTCCCGATTGGCCAGAAAGCCGGCTCCATGCTTTCTCGTCACCTAATCGGGAAGCCGGGTGGCGAGCCTTTACACGCTTCCTGGCTAATCAGGAAGCCAGGTGGCAAGTCATTACACGTCGCCTGGCTTCCTGAATGGGACTTCCAATACTCCGTATTCAGTATCGGCGAGCACCGAAAAAAATATCGGTACTTGATACTGAAATACCGGCATCGGTGCATCCATAGTGCATACCCAGCCTTAGGTTTCGGAAAAACTGTAGTTGATAGAGAAAAGAAATGGACACAGTATCTGAGTTGTATTAGCCTTTCAAGAGAACATAAAGTGTCTTTGCAAATATACAATTTTATTTTTGATGATGAGGATTGAGGACTTAAAAATAAAACATTTTAAATCTGTGCGCAAAAATGATTTAACACGTCTGTTTATAAACTGATCAAATTGATCGAAACCATTCCAGTTTCCCATTAAAGTTAATTGGCTGCCTAATTTTCCTTATTTTTACGATGGTGTGAGAGAAAGATTCCTGGAAGTAGCCCATCTGTAGTGATAGAGTCACCATATGTCAATTTATTAAGCCTCTCAGAAGTTTTGCTTAGCTGTCTGTAAGCCTTTTGGCTGACGTACATCTGGAATCCGTTCCCAGAAAAGTTATTTTGAGGTCAGTGCAAAAAATACAAATCTGCTCTGCACACAACTTTCCACTGTCCTTCTAGTAACATAAATATCGAAAAATAAATGGACGTGCAGCATGTGTGTGATTTGGGGGGCAGTTCTTTGCAGAGCTACAAAGCGAGAATCTGAGGAGCGAGGGGAGGAAGGCGATAGGCACACATTATCTTATGGTATCCTCCTGATAGGTCATTGGAGTCATTTTCACTCATCCAAAATGGCAGGTTAAGTCTAACCTGCTGATAGTTGATGCATGGTAGGCCCAGATATAGACTTGTTATAGTACAACTATTATTGTAGATGGTTGCAAAGGAAGGCAATTATGTATTCACGTTCCTGATAATAAAAAATATAACTAAAGACAAAACTGTATTAGCTTCGGATAGAATGCGGAAGGGTCCATGTGTTGGGAACATTCACCATTCTCTATTGTCTTGGTGACCATTGTCAGCAGAAATGTTACCGTTGTCACTGGAAATGGAATAGAGGTGAAAACTTTCAGTGGGGACATGTTTCAGTGAAGCTAACTTGAGATTGCCTCTCACTTCCTGTTCTGTTTCTGGGACAGGAAGTACAGGGAAATATTCCAATGGGATACTTTTAAATATAATTCAAGCCCTGTTTCCTTTTATCGATAGGCTCCACCCTTTTCTATGGGCTAGTTGTAATGAGAGGAAAATGTAGAAGAGTAGCTACCTAGGATGCATTGATATGATCTTTAAAGGGGGGGCCTTGACGTTCATTTTTGCAAAAGCCCCCATTGTATCTCGAGGTGCAGAAGAGCGCACTGTATACACTTTGGGCTTCATTTATAAAAAAAAAAAGGTTCTGCCCAGAATATAGACAGGTGATGCCGTCCGCACAGCACTAGTGCCCCTAGTGGGCGTTGACGAGTATAGGAATTTGCTAACTTGTATAAATGAAGCCCATAGTGTTAACAGGCAAAACTGAGCATTATGCTGACCCAGTTATTGCATGCATCATTCAGGGCAGGCCTACCATTGATCTTACATGTGTTGCCATGTCAATGATTCTATACAGTGGTACAGGCAAACGGCATTGAGCTGCACAGTCCTGGATAAGGTTTTGGCCTGCATTCATAATATGCTTTGGGTCAAACTATATTAAGGTGCACTGCTTAAAAGCAGCCCATTCATTTGAAATGGACCAGCATCCATCTTAATCCACAGAAAAAAAGAACATGCACTTTTTTTTCACAGGGCATTACAACACACACAGATTGTTCACATCTGTGTCTTGCTGTGCACTACAAGGCAAGTGTGTTGTGCTGCGTTGTCTAGGTGCATTGGGTGCCATCCAAATTGAAGGCACGCAATGAACCACACTGTAATTCTTTACCACTTGGTAAAACGCTTGTTACCGCAACACAGTAGTGTGAATAGGCCCTAATACATGGCACTTACAAAATACACTAAAACTCTTAATGTAGAATGCATTTTCCTCCATTACCTTGCTCCACAGCAAATGAAGCTGGATGGGGTAGGTAAGCATAATGTTTAAACTGCAATATATTACACCTGTTCTAGCAATCCTGCACTTCAAATCCCCAGCGTGAACAAGTTCTGGAAATGGTTGGTCTGCACCTCTTTCTTCCTGGGTGGTAAAGATTTCCCGTAGAGGTCTGTGGGCCTGGCACCTAGTGGAGGGAGCCAGAGATGCAGCTGATGGGAATCGAAGAGCCCGCTGTGATTCAAGAATGAAGTTGCAATGGGGGCATAGAGGTGATGCGTTACTACCCCTAGCTCCATCTGTCAGTCACTTTGCAATGCATATCCCTATTTTCAGTAGTCCCTTTGCCTTGTCTCCTGCATGCCATGCTGCCAGTTCCCTGTTAAAACATTAAAGGGTTAGGTCACCTTCAGCAAAAACATTTTCATGGATTCCAGCATCTTCAGTACATTGAAAAAGGCAAATTTTATAATATAAGCTTCTCTTCAATGTTATAGCTGTAGGTCGTGTGTGGCCTCTCCCAAGCTTGTCAGAAAAACTCTTGGAAAAGGGACCCCGGCACTGCAGGAACGGTTGCTCTGGCTTGTTCTGGTTCCTGTCATGCTTGGGTGCTCTTTCAACGGGGATGGTTGCCTATCTTGGAGTTCTCCTGACAGGTGTATGGTATGCCATGCATAGCCTACCAGTATGACATTCAAAAGAAGCTTCTGTTTACAAAACTGTGCAGTTTTTTAATGTACTGGAGATGCTGAAATGCATGGACATTTATTTTCTAAAGGTGAACTAACCCATTAAGTCCCATAACGCATTGTTTTTATACAGGTCAGCTCTATACGCTGGTCACATACAAATAGCAGTTTGAGTTTTCTTCTTTTTTTTTTTTTTTGCAATTGAAAGTAGTTGAAAATGCCTGAAAATTGCTGCGTGTGACCAGACTTTTTTTTTGAACAATAGATTTTTATTAAGAAATAGGTCAGCAATGGATGACAAAACAATAATCAAATAGATACCATAAAAATTGTACAATTCTTCCAAAGCTTACATGTCAGTTGGGAAAGATATATCTATATAAAGGCACAATAGGTATCCCAAATTCCCATGAACATACAAATTGTGGCACATTAGGTAGGTATGGGCCATCTGTGCAGGCCATTTAAATCAACAATATAGACAGAACCCAGATAGAAAGAAAGGGAAAGAATATCGGTCAGCGCTATTCTGTGACCAGACTTTTAGTGACAGCATCAACGGTGATATGGCAAAGAAGTAGTGTGGTCACATGGGTTAAAGACCACAAATATGGAAAACCTGGATACCGATTAAAGAACAGACAAAATACCAACTGACAAGGATTGTTTTTTGCAGAAAGAAAAAAGAATGAAGAAAAAAAAAGTAGGAATGTCCAAATACCAGTTGAGATACCAGTGCTGATACTTGGCATTTTCATGAGAACTAACAGGGTTGCAGCTGGGACCAGGCTCTGGCGCTCCACCACTGTCCTGAAATCATTAGTCTGTATTGTTTTACAAAAACTGTCACATGACAATAAACAAAAATGTATCAGTACTTGTATCTGTGAGTACTTGGACAGGTATCAGTAAAACAGAGATGTAGAAATCCCAGGAGCTCCGTGTGCTCCTTACAAATGACAGCTGCCTCCTAACTTTTTTGAATTTTTCTCTAGTCTAGTCTTGGCGCTCAAAGTATTGGTACTTGTACCGAGTACGGTACTTGGTATTGTTGCATCCCTAAAAAAAAAAGTGTAAAAATAAGAAAAATAGTATTTGCTAGATTTATAGTAAACCAAAACCTATTCATACTGAATGCCTTGAAATAGTTGCTGTGAACTAATATCCAAACTTGGAATGCTTCATCTTCAAAGTTTTCTTTTTTTTTCCAGAGGGCCAAATGTTTTAATTAAAGCTCGAGTTCTCATCTTCGACACAAAGAGATCCCAGCCAATCAGTGTCTGAGCCAATTTCCTGGGGAGTTTTTAACGGTTTGACCTGGAGGGCAATTTCATGTGTTTTATGGCCGCATGGTAATGAGAGCCACATGTAAAATACACCGTGCGTGTAAACAGTGCCCAGTGTCGTGACTTTTTTATTATTATCCATCTTTTATAAACCAGCATTTAGTAATAAAAGCACCGGTGCCAGGTTGTTCCGTGAAAGCCTTTTGAAAGAAAAAAAAGAAAGTGCAATAAGGCATTCATTCTTCCTGAAGCAATAAAGAGAGCTTATTAAGGAGGAGACGACTAAGAGGACTCCGGGAAACTTGCCTGCTACTTAACGCTGATGTGTTTTCCAGACCATGCTCTGTCCCAGATACATTAAACCTTCTTTGTGTAAGCCGAAGGGGTGCAACATCCACAGCCACCAGTAAGACGTCAACTGCCTTTTGTGTAGTGCAGTTAAAGTGACACTAAACTCGGACATTAAATCTTAAAAATACATTCATGAACCTTAACTATTAACAAAAATGTATCTTATTTGTGTATCACTCGGCTGTAGGTCCTCAAATCATCTCTGAATTGGTGCTGACACTGTCCTTCCTTCTGGAGGGTGGCTACTTTTGTTCCCCATGGTCCCTGTGTGTGTTGTAAAGTAGTCCAGTGATGGACTACAATGTCAATACAAATCAGTAAACTAAACGTGAGATTGTAGTCCATCACAGGAGCGAGCTTGGAGCGGTGACTACTTTACAACACACACACGGACCATGGGGAACAAAAGTAGCCCCCCTCCAGAAGGAAGGACAGTGTCGGCACCAATTCAGAAATGATTTGAGGATCTACAGCCGAGTGATACACAGATGAGATACATTTTTGTTCATAACTAAGGTACTTGAATGTATTTTTAAGGCTCAACTCCTACGATTAGTGTCACTTTAAACAAGGAAAGTGAGTATGCAACTGAAGGAACTGGGAACGCTCCATGAATCCCAAGACCCTCTAATATGCAAATCTCAATTTTTGCAGAGAAATTCCCCTGGCCCCCTCTTTAACTCCCAGATGGACATCGAACTCACCCTTCACAGGTAGACAAAATTAGGAGTTGCTGGAGAGGGTGACCCAGCCATTGGCTTTTTCAGAATAACTTCAAATTTGTGAATTGGGAAACCCTTGGATCTGGTGCTTCTTTGGCACTGAAGTATGCATGGGCACTGAGAGTGCCTGCTTTTGCTTTCAGTTACCAGTTTTAGATCACTTTTAAGTTATTAAAGCAACATTTTGTATCTGAATTTTTCTGTAGGTGTATAGATATATTCTTTGTTTTACAAATAATTATTTAAAGCTGAGCACTAGATAGCTAGTAGCACTGGGTATTTTACCATACATACATATGCAGTATATAGTTGCCAAGAGTTTAACATAGCCATCTCTTCCTCTAAAGGACGTCACTAAATAGCTTTGAGGTTTTTCTTCGCCTTTTGTGGAAAGAAAGTTTTCCTGCTTATGCCGTATTTTGGTCACAGCGGCAGACTGAAAACAGCCTGTAAGCCCCCATCTGTTAGGGACATATTTCTTTGACGGCCATGAGAGCATTTATTATTTTTTCCTTTCTTTTCTGTCGACTTAGCTGTTGGTTTACAGCCATAAATAAGTGGTCTGTGGTTTTTCCTCCGTCAATAAAAACTTTGCTGATTTTTTTACATGCAAGCCACAGTGTGTGTGGTATTTACAGGGTTCAGTTACCTGGTGAATCTGCATATTATATATTACAATGGTTATTTCCAAGTCTGTATTAAAGTCTATATGCTGTAGGCTTACTACAAGGGAGTATGGCAAGGGAGCATGGAGCCGGCTTCCAGGCCAATCAGGAAGCCGGGCAACGTCCCATTAAACCGCGCCCGGCTTCCTGATTGGCCAGAAAGCCCCCTCCATGCTTTCTTGTCACCCGGTGATGAGGGAGCATGGAGGCGGCTTCCCTGCTAATCAGGAAGCCAGTTGGCAAGTCATTACACGCTGCCTGGCTTCCTTAATAGGAGTTCCGATATTGGTATTTGGTATCGGCGAGTACCGGAAAAAAAATATCGGTACTCAATATCGAAAAACCGGTTTCGCTGCATACCTATAGAAAACTGCTTTAAACATATTTTCAATCTCCATTTTCATTAAAAGAATGCTGGTGCTCCTGCCATGAGTGCTTGTTCAAGCACTTCCTGTTTTGGGATGATAGCACTTTGTCAGTCTACCAATTTTGTGTTGTCACCCTGTAACATATGCTCCTGATGGAGATTACAAGTGGCCAAGTGTATACACATTGCACAGGCACCATTCAATGTTGTCACTCTCCAGAAGCCGACTGAGTGATGGCATGCAGCTGCTGTAGGAGTGAGCGCACTCTCCTCTCGGGTGGCCTATGTCCTCCTACCTTCCCTCCACCAAACCAGAGCTTTAGCCTCTATCAGGCTCTTCAGCATTCAGAACTTTCGGAGTGTGGGGTGCCTTTGCTTCCCGCTGTGCGTTGTGGTTCTATCCTCCAGACCTTACCTTATTAAAGGACTCGGCATGGATTTTGGAGGATGTGACCACATCATGCAGCTGGGGCCTCAGGCCTCCACCACTCCTGGAAGATTTGAATGCTGAAGAGTCAGACAGAGGCCGTCGCTCTGGAATAGCGCACTGGGTGGTAAGTATATCAGCTCTTCTATTGCAGGGAACTGCCCTTTTCATTTTTTTATGCAACTTACAGGGTCACTTTAGGAGTAATCATAGTTTAAATTGTATTTGTAAAATTGTATTCAGAAGACCAGTTTTTCAACTGTAGAGACAAGTTTTCTTTGCTCACACAGTAATTGTGGTTCTTACACAGGGTCACGTCTGCAGCCTCAGGTTCACTTTGCAAGACGTGCTTTGGATCTGCCTGGCAATGCCACCTATAAGGACCTTGCAGCGTTCCTGACAGCAGCCACCACATTGTCAGAGGTGGACAGTTTCCCCTACTTACAGGGATCAGATGGGAACTCATCAGGTAGGCTGAGCACACATTATTACAAACTGAATATATTGTATCTGTGCGGTAGAAAATTTGTTTACATTCATATGAGTGGCGCATTGGGCAAACATTTCCAAGTTAGTTCTAGATGGACTTTAGTTTCTTTAGCTAATCTGTTTCTACTACATAAGCTGTCCAGATTTTCTGACTACGGTGATTTTCTCAGATGCTGAAGGACAGTTGAGCTGTCACTCCTAACACACTATCTGTCAGTGCTGCTGTCATAACTGTCAAACAGCACTGAGGTGCTCCAGACTGGTATAGGCTTTAAAGAGTACCTGTGTCTGTCTTTGACATCTTTTGCTCCCAATTGGTCTAGATAGTGTGTAGTTGGCCTCTTTCCAGAGAACCCATGAAGCTTAAATTACAAGGATGCTCAATAATCAGAATTAGGACCAGTGTCTATGTGGTCATCATGAGGCCCAACCCTGCCTGGCATCTGCCACTCCCTGTTCAACAAAAAATGTAATGGTTGGCCTCACTGGCCAAGCTCACAGTGATTGCGTAGGATCTGATCATAGTTCTTATTACAGAACAGGCTGGGATTTAAGGACAGCTTGGGTAGCAGTCAGCAGATGTCAAGGAGGCAAATATTTGAAGTAAGCTAGACTTTGCTTTTGCCATTAGTGATGTCGGGCAGTAGAGTCACTGGCATTTGACAGTCAAATGGCAGCGGGTGGCTTTTTGTGCCAGGAGAGATGGGGCTTAATTAGGATTTGGAGAGAAATTGAGGCCTTGTGTGCAGCATTGGCCTAGGATACAGGGGTTCCACAGGGATTAAATTAAAGATTAACATGAGTATTTTAAGGCACCACAAGTTTTCTGTACTTCCGCACTGATGTAAGTCTGATTGTTAGATCAGCTTTCATTTAAATTTAAATTTTAGCTGTAAGGACCAGGAGTATGGTGCTATCTTGGCATCCAGTGTGCATATCTTTTAAATTAAGCGCCCTCCTCTATCTTTGTGTTTGTCCAGCCTGTACAGGGGCAGGACATGCAGCAATGTGAAGGAAGGGAGCTTCTCTTAGGTTGTAGGAGCCATTCTAGCCTTCGGCAGCAGCGACTCTGTAAACAGCCCTAGTTTAACTAATTTCCAAGTATAAAGTTTTTTAAAATCCAGACGTCATGAAATTTGGTATTTTGCTACGCTAGAGGAAAGACTAAAATGTGAATATTGTTGGACAGCAGCAAGTCATATTTAGCTGCCAGTAAGTGTAAGCCAGACTCGTAATAACAAGGGTATGTTTGCTAGTTAAAAGAACTGAGTTAGGAAGCTGGCGCTCCAGATTCTGCTGCTGCATGGGATTTGGCAAGTTGTGCAAGTCATATGTCATACTTGGTTCATGCTAACACACTACAGGTGTGCCAAGGCCCTCGTGACTTTCCAGTCTAATCTGCAGTTTATACTTAAGAATGCGGATCCAAAGAGAGAGCCTTTGTCTCTTTTGTTTATTACTAGCATTGACCGTATTCTACGAATGCAACTAAAAATGTCTTTGTGGGGTGTTGGTGCTTCTAAAAACTGCACCTTGATGCAATAGATAAATGGCATTTCCCTTTTAGTGGGCTGCAGCTGACACCTTTTGGTGATTTGTCTTTGGGAAGGTGGCACTGTTGGGTGACCTGGCATTTTACGGTTGATTGCCATTATTCCCCAAGAGTGCTGGCAAGGCATAGAATGTAATGTAATTGTGTCCAAGTTCTCTCTCAACTGTAGTTAAAAGTGTAACTCCTGTCAATTGTTTGGTTTTGATAAAGTGGGCAAGGTTTAGAACCTCAGAATCTGATTGTGACCTCATTGGAGATAGTTCCCTGAACTTCCCCTGAAATACAAATGGAAGTATACTGAGATCTCCCCAAAATTAGTGGAAAACCTACCTTAAATAGTTTCCATCAGAACCGAAGACCCCATTGGAAAATATTCCTTCAACTCTTTTCCAGGGAGACCTGTAATTTTGTGTTCTTCCTCACTTTGCCTTCCATTGATGGTGGTCACCAGGACAAATTGTGAGGTTAGATCTCCCAAGCCGAAACGCATACAAAAAATTAAACTTGATACAGGTTCTAACCATTCACCACTTTATCCAAAACTAGAAGAAACCTTTTACTTAAAGTTATACTGTATTGTACACCGGTGCTTGTGTGAAAATCCCAAAATTTGCATAAAAAAAATTTAATGAATGCTTTGGGTGCTTACACACACACTTTAAGATGTTTACCTTTCTAAGGGGAGTCTCAAAACCTGGGGTAATCGCTGATACACATCCAGACTTCAGAACAAAAGGTCGAGAATGTACTTGCCTATTTACAATGTATTACTGGTGACCAGCAGTGAGTTACAGGAAGGGGCATACCATCTACTGACTTGCATTATCGAAGATGACATTTGCATAATAAGCCCAGGTTTTAGGGCTGCTGGGGTGCTCTGGAAGATGTTTAAAGGTATATGCAGGCTCCTGAGTGTATTTCAATCCTAGCACCAATTTAAGTACTTCCTTGTGCATATAAGTGTATTTTACATATTAAAAATGTATTGTGGTTTTTTCAAAAAGTAAACAACATACAAAGGATAAGGTAGATTGGATTACAGTTAGACAGGTGGTGTAAGCATAATACTCATGGTAGTTGACATGCATCACTTGTTTTAAACCGGAAACAGAATAATAAGCCTTCACCAAACATACATGGGAGACGAATAATGACACGGGGTAAAGGAAGTGGGTAAAGAATAAGTGTATTTTAAAGTTGCATTCAAAATGACCTTGTAATAGTGTAGTCAATATTAGCCCCTCTGCTCTGTAAAGAGAAGTGGAATAAGGTTTTAAGGGGCCACATTATTTCTACTGAGGGCCATACCTGCATGATTCCAAAAAGGGTATAGTACTTTGGCACATTTATAGTAACAACTTGTATTCCAGAGAAAAGGGGAACTACTTAAGTATTTGTAACCTTTAGCAACTGAAGTATAGCCGGGAGTCCGTCCAATTTATATTCTTTAACCACTGGTGGTCACAAGAACATGAAAAGTCTGACATGTCTGACCTAGTGTCAGTGAAAGGCTGTGCTGCATTGTTTTGTGTTTATTTTAATTCTGGATGTGTTTGTCTCACAGGGAACAGCAGCAAGTTTGACCTCATCCCAGTCACAGCCATCAGCATCCATTTACTCAGCAGCAATAAGACAGACGTGTTGGTACAAGGCCCGATCTATGTGACCGTGCCCCTGCCAGCTGACAGCACCCTGAAGCACAATGAGCACGTGCCTGCCTGGCGGTTTGACCAAAATCACGGTAAGAACGTGTGCTGTACACTGGATGCATGCTGGTGATAGTGTGGGGGCGGAAATGGAAATCAAATCTCAGCTGCCATTTCTTAGAGCAGCTTCCAAATTGTGTGTGACTATCTGTTTAGCTGTTAGCAATGTATTTTTCATCTGAATAAAGCAATAACTTTATGTCCACTGCCACTTAGTGCCCAGCACTGTCAGCTAGGGGAGGTCACATGCTTCCCCCATACATAGAGGCCCTGCTGTGTTAGCAAGGGCTCTAGCAGCACAAGGAGGCAGGGAGAAAGTGTGGCTGGGTAAGTATAAATGCCTGGGGGATCTATGTGCACTATAGTCACTTTGCTCTCAATACTTTCCATTTATATCAGACTTTTACCCAAAATACATGGTGCATGTCGCTCTTCATGCACATCCCTGAATTAATTTCTATAATCAAAGATTTATTTATATATACACTTCCTGATCTTCACTAGGCACTGGTGATATAGCCAGGTCCTCACAGCTCAGCTCCCCCTGGGCAGGCTACATCACCAGTGCCAGTTCCAGAGAGATCTTGCCCAATTTATTGTTTTTGAAAAATAAGCCGTGCTAGATTTCATACGGCACATACATTAGATCTGGCACAGACTTCATCTGTGATCTTGCTAATGCAAGATGCGCTGCATGCATGAGATCTGGGGAAGCTTGTTATTAACAAGCCACACCAGTTCCAGTATTTCACATTTGCAAGATCTGGAGCAGACATCAACACAGAACAAGAAAGAAGAGACAACGTTATTTCCACGTAGGCCCAGACGGGAAGGACCTGTGGTAAAGGGGGGCTCTAATGGAGACAGAAGATGTTGCTGTTTGTAAGTTTATTGGTTTCCTTAAATACATTCTAGTTTTTTAGCGTGGAAAGGGAAAGGGGAAAGGTCTGTTTTATGGATATAGGAGGCCAGTGGATGGTCTAGACTGCTTTTACCCACCCAATACGGAATATAAACATTGCAGTTCCTTTGTATCATGGCTCGCTGTGCAAAACTCTTCATCAGGAAACTTTCACATCCTCTTGGACTTGTTGAAGAATAATCAGGAGATGACTGTTTGTTTTTCTCCATTAGTGGACGCATGCTTCTTTGTGGCCGTCATATAACCCTCTTTGTTGTTCCAGGCTGGTTTTGGTACGGATGGTGATAGAGCCGGGTCAGTTGTATTTATAAAAGATTTCCTTTTGTTTTCCAGCTCTTCAGATTTTATAACATGCGGAAGGTTTCCCAGTTAAACCTGCCCTTTATTTGCAGTAGATTAACCTTCCTGGAAATTGTCCACATTTCTCAAGTGTTTTCTTCTCTTTTTTTTTTTTTTTGCATTTAAAGTTGCCCGGTTCACACCTCCATGGCCAAGGGTATTTTGGGCCCCTTGACAATTACTCAAGCAAATGGCAATATGCACTCATCAATTTGTTACCAGCTTTACAGCAAGATACACATGGAAGGGCTTTAAACAGTAACAGCAAAAAGCTTCCCAGCACACTCACCAGCCAGAATGGTGAGACAAAAACCTGTCTCACTGCTAGGGTTAAAAACAGAGGTTTAGATACACGTCTTATAGTGCGATCCTAACTCTGAACTATGAGAGACTCCATCTTGGAGCACATGTGGCAAAAGATAAAATTGGGTGCAGGTTTGTCAGAAGGAAGCCTAACCTCCCTTAAAGGCACAGGTACGCACAAAGGACCCTGCACATCACAATGGCAGCTGAGACCCCCCCCCATGAGTCACTGCACCAAATCAGTCAAGCAAAACAAATGGCAAGCACACTCATCAATTTGTTACCAGCTTTACAGCAAGGTGCACATGGAAGGGCTTTAAACAGTAAAAGCAAAAAGTTTCCCTTGCCAATAACTGGCTCAGACAGAATTGATAGTATTATACAGGCAATTTTGCTTTGCCAGGTGATCATTGACAATTGACAGAAGCCATCAGCTGGCATTTTGTTTCTCACAATCTTTTCATGTGAATTTGTGATGGCAACAGCCTGTTCACTGTGCGGGTACAGTGCATTTGACCTTTCACACTAGTGCAGATGTTCATGTATGCAATCTCCTGGGTACAGCTAAGGTCTGTGCGGGTAACCTGTCATAACAGATATATATGTCTAGTGTTGCCAGCTCCCTGGCAGTAAGTCGAGGGATTGAAGCCAACGGCAGCTAAGCAGCAAGGTTTTTTAAAAGTGGTCAGCAGTATTGAAGGGAAACCTCTGCCTGAAGGCTATCCATAATCCAACACTTCCAGGAGTTTTGGATTCCTGGATCCCCGCTATGCACTGTTGTTTATCCCACCGACCCCCAGGTCAGTACAGTAATAATGTAGAGGCAGCAGATCAAACCTCTGCGTGCTGAAGGCCAACAGGAATCCAACACTCCACTAAAGTGTCAGTTTCTGAAGATTTTTCAGGCAACAGTTGCTCTTAAAAACACTTTTATTTTAGCACTTTAAGAATTCTCATACAGTAAGTGAACCTGTACTCCAGTCTAAACACTGACATGAAAGTCCCAGCTTAAGAGCAGATGCCCCAAAAATATCTTCCTTTACATTTATTAGCCAGAAGAGCCTCTTCTGTGCCCCTCTCTGATTTTAATTTAATTTTGTTGTTTTCACCTGAATTGATGGCTTTGTGAACTGCCATTCTGCTGTCCAGCGAGAGTGCCCTTAGTGACCTATTATATATTCTCATTGCATATTGGAATGGCAGTTAGCGGGACTTGGCCATAATGTCAGCAGTGTTAGGCCCCTGTACCGAAAATAAGTAAATCGGGAGGGCAGTGAAGTGTATTTTCTGGTAGGCTTCTTACGGTATCTATGACAAATTGGGTGTTGTTCCTACCTGGAGATTCGATGAATTCTAATTCCCCTCCTGATATTTACTTAACTGCTTGTTTAGTCCGATCCCTGACCATATTTGTGCAGAAGAAAAATACGGTATCTAGTCTTATTAAACAGTTAAAGTAGAGCAATTGTTTAACTATAAAATTACATATGGGATGTAGGCTGTCCATACCAGTAAGACTGGGCTCCCTGTTTTTCAAAATACCCATTGGAACATTTTGTAAATAGTGTGACGGACACAAGGGCAAATACCTGTTGATCCTGCCAGTGGAACCATTGGATAGGCACTTCCTTCCATAGGGGGACAATACTTTTTCTTCTGCAAGAAAATCCTATCAGTGTTGTCACCTTTGCTGTTTCTGTAAGCTGGCCATACACCTTTAAATTAAAAAATATATACATTGATTTTTCCCTATCCACACTAACAGCGTGGATGGGGGAATCGCTGATTGCAGATGATTACCTTCAGTCACTATTCAGCTAAGAATTTTTGAACCAGCTCTTTCGACAAAAGTACATTTTTCAATGAGGGGTGCTGACTGGGCCACACACTAATCGAATTTTGACCAAGTCAACAGAACCTTGCCAAAATTCAACCAGTGTATGGCCTTAAAAGCTGGTATCATTGATAACCCTATCAGTGAAAAGTCATGCTGGCTCTACCCACAGCCATTTAGATTGATCGCAAATTGCTGTATCTGGAGGAGCTCCGGAGAATGCCGTTAAAAGCCTTGCTACGTCCCTTCCACCTCTTCCAGCCCTGTCTATCAGGGCGCAGGAGAAATCCAGCTTTCCAGCTACACTTAACATTATGATAAAAGAGGTACAGTGAACTCCTCATTATCCAGCATTCAAGCAACCAGCTTGCAGCATTTTTTGCAATCACACTGGACCGGGACACAGGCATTGATGTTCCACATGTTCTGGTGCGGGTGATCCCACTGTGGGCGGGGGGGGGTGTTGACTTGAATGCACCACCATTCCCCCTCCCACTCCAGAACACGGGGAGCCAGCCAGGATGCGATAGTGCGTTTCAGCATCTAACTGTTATGGAACGCACTGTAACTGGTGTGAACAAGCCCTAATGCACACTAAAAAATTATCAGTTGCTTGGTGCACAATAAAAAAGTTTAGTTAGCAACTAAATTTATTTAGTTGCTAATGAAATTCTTTGTTTACATCTTGCCGCCGGGCGGCAGCTAGATTCTGTGATCGGCAGCAAAATGTAAACAATGGGAAACAATAGCCAGCCTTCTGTTGGCTTTTTCAAATTGCTAAAACCAATAGCAGGCTGGCTATCATACCCACCCGCTGCGCAGAGGAGCGGACCAGAGGGAGAACTTTCTTGTTTAGGTCCGCTCAGTGGCCGGAGTTTCAATAGCCAGCCTACTACGGAAGCTAGCTGCCAGGTGAATGGAGCCACGGGGGGAGTTAATAGTAAATCTCAAGCAATCAGAAACTACAGTAATCCGGCACCTACCGATCCCTGTGGTTGCCACATAACTGGGAGTTTACTGTATATTATACCACTTTTAAGACACTTGACATGCTAACTTACAGTGAAATGCCTGTTTGTCACTCTTAAGTGGTTAAATGGTACACACAGAGTCAGCCAGTTGGAAGAAATATTTGTCCTAGTGCTTCCTTATAGTGATCTTCTACATTGCTGCATTATACAAAGTCAAGATTACAAAACATCTCCACCAGTAGCCATCATGAAGGGTGCACCTAATAAACAAACTTCCACACAAAGACCGAAAAGTGGCATCCTAGCGTGAGCTGTCTATTGTTATATGGAAAGTTCCCAGCTGCAGTTACCTGTATACATTTTTGCATATTGTAGGTCTGAGAGGCGCCTTAGGATATGTTTTTTTTGAAGCCTTGAAGCTTGTTTCCCCGACAAAAAACTCCCAAGTTCCGTAATAGATATGCAAAAGAGGCCAGGTTTTCCAGTGTTTCTGTTCTTTGTTGAAGTGACCCTTGGCTAATACCAGGTTTGGCTGCTAGCCACCTCCTGCTGCTATAGAGCCTCACTAGTGTCTCTGTCTTGGAGGAAACTGAGATTATCCGGCTGCTTTTTTACTAATCAGATGGGGGAAATGTGTTTTGCTGACCAGAGATGAGCGTTTAACAT